TCGATCGCGGCCCGCCTGCGATCGTCAAGGTCCTGCTTCGACGAGACGCGATCTCGGCGAGAGGGGCCTTGTGGCCAAGGATGCTGGCCCTGCACCCGAAAGCCCACATCAGCTGCCTAGGGAGCCTGGCGGGTACTGGATCGAGCCCGTCGCCGAGCTCATCAGACTGCGTCCTGCATCGCCACATGTATTGTTGCAACGCGGTTGGAGTGCACGGGTTATTGGTGGACGAGCTCTACTCTACTTGCAGGTGGCCAAAATTTCGTCGTCGGCTGACCCCTTCTGGACAAGGGCCTTGCTGCCGAGAATATTGCTGCCCAGTCCAGGCATGCGGGACGACTCGGGCCTATGACGCTGCGGGTTGGGTGAGCAGCGAGATTGTCAATGGCACGGTCTGCTGCGACGGCAGCTGTTGCCGCAAGTGGTACCAGCCAGGGGCGACGAGTGCTGGATGCGATACAGTCGGGGCGCTGAACAAGGAACCCTTTCCGTTGGGGAGGGGCTCAGTGTTTCTTGACTGTTTCCTAGTTCGTCTCAGGTTTCCTGAGGTTTTCGAGGACGCATCGAAGTTTAACCTCTGGAAAAAACAATGGGCCTAGTTCCTTATTTATCGTTCCTTAGGTGTACTCGGGCCTGAGGGGAGCCCCCCGTGGGCTGCAGCTGCGGGCAGGCCGAACCGAGACGTCTGGCCCAGAATCTGGGCCAAGATCGAGGGCCTACGGCGCATCTGGTGCACGCAAGCATGGCAATCACTGTCAGTATCGTTGAACCGATCCCCATCCCCATCCCAATCCCCATCCAGACCCCCACCATCTCATCCCCCCAGTTGGGGATAATTATACCCTTCGGAATCTGACAGAAACTGCTTATATCCCCATCTAGGGGGGTAAACCGGCCAGCGGGGCCCATGCCACGCAAGTGGGGTTAGGGATCGGTTAGACTATGCTCAGACTGGACGGATACCATGGCAAACTTCGGCACGCACTCAGCTCCCGTCGCCGCCAATCGAACCACCCACGAGCTGCTCAGGAAGGTCGGGCAGGCCGCGTGCCACATTGTAAACATCAGTGCGGCCATGCCGGACGGCGCGCTGGAGGCTGACAGGCAGGAGGCGCCCGACGACAGGCGCAAGGGCAGGCGGAGTGACTGCCAGCCGCATGGTCAGCCGCCTCACGTCGCGCACTCTGTCTTTCCCCCTGGGCAAGTCGTGGATGCGTGCGCGGGGCCGTACGGTGGTGCTGCTCCGCAAAAACTGCAGGATGAGGGCACGGCAGCGCTGCATGGCGCGGGGGCTGTATGAGAGGTGCACGCGTGACCAAGGCCAGGGCGAGCAGGACCCAACCCAGGCCGACGGCGAGATCATCACCAACATGCGCGGACATGGCGCAGTGTTCCTGGCCCAGGCGGCGAAGCTCCGGCTCGCCGCCCAGGAGGCGGGACCCACGGGCGGGCTCCGGTTCCGGGCGCGGGCGCGAGCACTTCGCTTGCTGGAGAGCAACAACACGGACAAGGTCATCTGGGTTGCCAGGTGGCGTACGTGGTTTGATGCCAGCATCTTGCACACCCTCTCGCAGGCGGTTGAGGATCTCAGAGCGCGCGGCGTCACCATTGCCTCTCTGGAGCAGGAGTTGGGCGGGGCCCACCCGTGGACGCGGCCAGCAGCTCGTCGGGCTCAACGAGGACTGCAGAGAGCTGCGGTTCACGCCCAGCTCGCCCTCGCCTCCAGGACCGCTGAGCTTCATCCAAGAGTCCGGAGGATAGCTGATCGCTGGCGGCTGAATGTCCTCCCGGGCCGTCGGGTCTTCCGCTTACTCTCGACAGTCAACTGGGTTCGGGGGCATGCGCAGCCGAGGGTGGTCGCCGCAATGCTTCGCACCTTCGCCAACTGTCGGGTGTCCGGGAGGCGCACACATGCAAGCACATTCTAGCGTTTGGCACTTCTGAGCCCTGGATGCAGCCGCTCCCTTTAGGACCGCCTGGCGGGCTTCATGGGCGCCCTGTGCGCGCAACCGGTGGGACAACATCGCGAAGTACTGCGCCGGGCCCCGCTAACGACTGCCACATATAAGCTCCACGGTTGGTGGCGACACCACCCTGGACCTCGTTTGGGGCCAGCCTCGATGCTCCGGGCGCTGCGGGTCCAGCTGCGCGAAGTGCTTGCGGCGGACTGGTGCGAGCACTACGACGCCGACGACGACGGGTTTTCGTGATTGCCTTTTTTTGTACAGGCCCAGTCAGTTCTTCCTCTTTTTCTCCTCCTCCTCCTCCTCCTCCTCCTCCTCCTCCTCCTCCTCCTCCTCTTCCTTCTCCCCTGCCTTCTGCTACTCGCAGTGCTGCGTTGTGGACCAGGGCCAGGCCGAGGCCAGAGCGCTCGGCGAGCGCGCGGCAGTGCCGTCGGCCACGCGGCCAGGACAGGGTCGACTCTCGCACCCCGTGGTTGGCCGCCACTTGGCGCCAGCCACATGGCCCCTCCCCCCCCGGGGGCCCCACGCCTGGGGGGCAGGGGACCGCCACCTCTCCCCTTTCCCCTTCCCGCCCTCGTCCTGCCTCCCCCCCTTCCCCCCCTGTCTCCCTAGCTGGGGAATTGGCGATTCTCGCCGGCTGCATGCGCGCTCGGCGCACGCTCGCGGTCTTGCGCCCGCGGTCGGCCGACCCCAAAGCCCCGACGATCCGGGCTTGCCTCATTTGCCGTTTCATGACCTACGTGCCCACTGCGCCAAAAGGTGCTGGGGCGCGGCGGCACCTTTTAGCATCACCTGTTGCATCACTTTGGGATATCATTGGTTGGTGTGCGATTGCACCCAACGTACTGTAGCCTGGTCCTGCGTGTTCGACTTGCTCGCTTCTGTCTTCAGCAGAGGGGGCAGGACTTGTCCTCCCCAGCTGGCGCCTGCAGCAGGCTGTGTGCCATTTTGACTGTACCGGCCTATTCTCGATTCGAGGCCCGGTTTAGCTCCTTCCTCTCCTTCCTCCTCCTCTTCCCTCGTGTGGCTGGTGTGTTGCTTACTTCTGGTGGGCAAGAGTTTGAAGCAACTGATGTGAAGCATAGCCGCTTTCGGCACCCACTGTACCCACTTTTCCTCCTCGTCTTCATCTTTCGTCCTCGTTTCGTTCCCCTCCCTTCTCCTCGTCTCGCCGTTGTTTTTTACTTTTGGGGCGTTGCTGTAAACATAGCCACTGGTCAGTCTTTGCCGCGTATCGCCACGGAGTGCGCGGGTTACTCGTGAAATGTTGCGGTCGGCCGTCGTCCCCGTAAAGCGAGCGAGCTTTCAGGCGAGTTCATTGAGTGAAAAAAGCGTGTGCGGACATGCCATATGTAGTAAGCACCGCCAGACCGCCTAAGCGTCACAAAGCCATTGGCGAAGAGTTTCAGCACGTCGTGGACACCATCAAGCTTTGCCGAATGCGCACTAGCATCGACGGCCGCAACGAGAAGGACGCTGAGTGCACCACAAGGGCCAGTTTCGACGACGTCGGCCCCGCGACCAACACCGTGCCGAAGGCGCTCGTGTCACTGACCGTGTTGGGCGCGTGCGCTGCTGTCGTAGGTGGCGCTTCGGACATGCGGAGGACAGCGCATGGGAGCCCCGCCCGTAGGCTGGACCAAACACGAGATCGAAATTGCCGACGGCCGCACCAGGAGAGGCGGGGAAGCACGCCGCCCCTCCCCCGTCTTCACGGCGCCAAGGCTGGATGCGCAGGCGAAGGCGCCACCGGCCAAGCGTCCCCGCGGGCTCGCTGCCAGCCAGGCGGAGCGCGCTACCCCGAAAGAGCTGCTGCCCACAGGCCCTGTTGCGGCGGTGCCGCCAGCAGCCGCGAGGGGCCACAGGCTGATGGTGGGTGGTGGCATCGTCGGCTGCATTGGCTGCGGCGTGTACGGCTCGAGCTCGCGCAGCGGCGTGTGGGCGACCCTGAGTTAGCCTGGCCGCAGCTCGCATGAGGTGCCGCGTTGTGGAGGCCGCCGCTGTTCGCCTCCCCGCATGCGCCTGCGTACGTCACAGGCATTCTGCCGGGCTGGCCGCGGCGCGCGCCGCCTCTGTTGCCCCTCGTGCTCCGAGGGCTGTGCCGCCGCAGCCTGCAGCGACGTTGCGGCCTGCTCAGAACATTTGCTGGGCTCGGCCACTCTTCACGGGCGCGTGGTCTTGCCCGTGTGCGCGCTGCCTCTCGTTGTGCGCACCCGCTGGGCGCCAGCGCTTGTCACCACGTCGCCCGCCTGGGCTCGAGGGCAAAGTGCAACGCGTCAATCGAGGGCTTCCGCCATCCCGTTTGACTCTCCCCTCCGTTGCGATGCTGTGCCATGTGGTCAACTCGGATTGTCGGTGGGGACGAGTTGTTGTGCTGTGGGAGTGCAGCCGTGTCAGGGCCTAGGTAAGTTTGTATACCGACAATGCGTGATGGGCGGGGTGTGAGGGGTGGTCTCTCGCTCTTCCTTGCCTCTGCCTGCCTCGTGACGTTATGTGTAACACTGTCCCGATCACCATCATCACCACCATCATCATCATCACTACTGTCATCATCATCATCATCATCATCATCATCATCATCATCATCATCATCAGCATCAGCATCAGCATCAGCATCATCATCATCATCACCGTCATCATCATCATCATCATCACCAACATCATCACCACCATCATCATTGTCTCATCATCATCATCGTCATCAGTATTATCACCATCATCATCACCATCACCATCATCATTATCAACAACATCAACATCAACCTCACCACCACCATCGTCACCATCATCATCATCATCATCATCATCATCATCATCATCATCATCATCCTCACCATCACCATCACCATCACCATCACCATCACCATCACCATCACCATCATCACCAACATCATCATCATCATCATCATCATCATCATCATCATCATCATCACCACCACCACCACCACCACCACCACCATCGTCATCATCGTCGCCATCGTCGTGACTATCGTCATCATCTGCATTTTCCAGCTCGTCCTCGTTCTTCCCCGGCAGGTGCAGCGGCGGTGGCGATCCCGCCGCTGGCGCGGCGTCTGAGGCCGGGCGCCGCCGCTGGCGCAGCTCCGGGTGTTCGGGGGGACTCCGAATGCGTCGCGCCCCTGGCCAGGCGGCGGCGTCCACGTGCCGCCCAGGCAGTCGTCGGTACGGTCGAAACGGGGTCGGTGCGGTGCGTTCGAAGCGGGGCGCTCTCGTCGGTACGATGGGAACGACGGCCAGAGAGTACGTCTGGGGACGAAGACCGACAGACTGGTTCCTGTCTGCCAGGGAGCTGGGTGCGCTCGATGCGGCTGGCTGGGGCGAGAGCTGGACACATGTTTCCCCCGGTATTTTCCCGGCCCTCGGCCCTGCTATGGCCAGGCACGCCGAGCTTCCGCGTGCGCATCCAGCGCGTGGTCTCTGGATGTTCACATGTGAATTTGGTCATGTGTTCTTCCAGCTTCCGGGCATCTCGAGTGGGACTCGCTGTCGGTGTCGCCGCGGACGTTGTTCATTGGAGAATCGACGCTTGCAGAAGCAGCGCCTGCACAGCATGTGCTGTTTGGGCACTGTGGGGGTCGGGAAAGGGGGTGCGAAAACTGCTTCGTGCAGCTGGTTGCAGCTCGGCCGCCAGGAATCATCCTCGATGCACGGCCGCCTCTGGCGCCAGGAGGCGCCGGGAAGACCCGGTGCGTGCATCTGATTCGCTGACACCCCCTTTGCTAACCTCCCCTGTCGTCCGCCTCGAGAAGCGCTCTCGGTCACCCCCCTCCTCGGCCTCCTCCTCTGCCCTCCTGCGCCTCTGGGGAGCCTGTGAGAACGCGAGAACGTTCTTGGACGTTTCTGGGCCTCCCGGGGCGGCGTCGTTGTGACAACAGCCAGGTTCCATAGGAGACTCTGACCCAAACACGCCCCTGGACACCTCCAGGGATGGGTTTCTGGGGCCGGCGGGTGCCGCCTCGCGAAGCGCTCTCGGCCCTGCTCCTCGGCCTCCTCCTCGCCCTCCTGCGCCTCCCAGTGCGAGCATGAGCGAGCCCAGGCGTGCGCGAGCATGTCAGCATGCCTGCGCGCACGGACATGGTGGGGATGATAGGGGGCCACATGCGAACCCTACCCCCACCCTCCCCCTCAGAAGTCGTGGGGGGTAGGGGAAGGGTTCGCATGTGGCCCCCTAGATGAGGGTCTGTCCGCACTGAGGCGCGCCAACCTGCAAGCACGGCAGCGCGCCGGCATGCGTGCGCAGGGCGAGAGCGAAGGAGGGGCAGATCGCTGGTGGGCGGTGCCGTGGCCTCCCGAGGTGCGTCTCGCCGTTCGGGCTCCTCGGCGGCGGCCTCCTCGGATGCCCTCGGCGCGAGCAGCTTCCCCGCGTTCGAGCCGCCGCAGGTGAAGTACAAGAAGAAGGCCTTCTGCCCCGTATGCGAGAAGCGCGTGGTGGCGGGCGAGACTGAGGAGATGAGGCTCAAGGGAGGAAGAACCACCCGGACCGGACAATCGGCGTTTACTAGACGGCCCTGGGCGTTTACTAAACAGCCCTACCCCGTTAAATTCCTTCTTTGGGCGCGTTTACTAAACGACTTCGCATGTCGGGGTGTTGATTATGGGGGTGGATTTTTGACCTCTAGAGGCATTCTTGCGATAGGTTGTGGCGCAAGTACATGCGCCTCAGCGACTTGCACTGCCCGCTCTTCAGGCACGTCTGGGTGAAGGCGCGGGAGGGGCCGGAGGAGGCACATCACCTCTGGCAGAACACCCCGCGGCTGAAAGGCAGGTCCTGAGAGCTCGACCGCCCGCTGAGAGTGCGCTCTAGCATGCTCCTGTAGACATGTACCCTCTTATTTCTCCTCGCCCGCTTCCTCGGTGTCGTCCTTGTCGTCCTTCTTCTCCTACATGTTCGTTGCGTCGCCCGTCTGCCGAACCTGACTCGAGCGGTCTCAAAGAAACTATGGATTCGATTTGTGTCGGGGATTTGTTTTCTGGCGATTTGTGGGGCCAAGAGGGCCAAGTGGGCCAGGCGGACAGCGACGACGACGAGGGCGACGAGGCAACGAGGACGAGGGGGAGGACAGCGACGACGACGACGACGACGACGAGGACGAGGACGAGGACGAGGACAGCGACGACGACGACGACGACGACGACGACCAGGGCGATGAGGACGAGGGGGAGGATGAAGAAGACGACGAGGGGGCGCAGGGCCAGCACCCCCAGGCGGTCCTATCGGCCCAAGCCGGGAGCAAGGGCAGAAGGGAGAAACGCATCGGAGTCACATTGGAGCAATGTTGACACAATCTTGGGGTCAACTAGGGTGAAGTCGGGCCTGAACATACAAACTAGGCCCGACATGCAAACTAGGGTGAAAGGGGTCATCTTGGGGCAATCTCGAAGTCGTCTCGGGCTCATGGGGTCGTCCTGGGGTCACGCGGCAGTCTTAGTTCGGTCGGGAGACAATGGGTTCGTCTCGGTGTTCTCTTCGGGCCGCAGGGTCGCTCTGGGGTCGTATTGGGGCCATTGCTTAGCAGGGGTGGGTATCGTGGGGCGACAGGGGTAATCTTGTGATCCTTTCAACATTGATTTTGGGCTTATCTTGGAATCATCTTTCCGTTGCTGCCTCTCTCGTTGCTGTTGCTACAGGTGTTGCTGTTGCTGCTGGCCCCCTGGTGCCTGGCGCTGTTGCTGCTGTGTGTGCCGTCCCAGACCTCCGACGGCTCAGCTTGTCGAGTTGCCTGTCTTGTGTTAAATTTGTGCGTGGAGCCATCTTGGGGCACTCTTGGGGCCTTCCTGGGCCCTCTTGGGGCCCTGCGGGGGCCCTCTGAGGGGACACCAGGAGGGCCCGACATTTGACACAACTTTAACACAAACCGCCTCCTTGGAGAGCGTTTTGTGTTATCATTGTGTTAATTTCGGGCCCTCTTGGAGCCATCTTGGGGCCCTCTTGGGACCGGCGGGAGCCCTCGGAAAACACAACTTTAACACAAACCACCTTATTAGAGGGTGTCGTGTGTTAAATGTGTGTTAAGTATCGCGCCCTCTTGGAGCCATTTTGGGGCCCCCCTGGGCCCTCTTGGGGCCCTGCGGGAGCCCTCTGAGGGCCCTAAGAGGCCTCCAAAAGGGCCCGATATTTCCTGCACATAAAAAAAAAACGCCTCCCTGCCCTACTTGGGCCCTCCTGGGCCCTCTTAGGGCCCTGCGGGAGCCCTCTGAGGTCCCTAAGGGGCCCCCCAAAGAGACCGACATTTAACCGAATTCATCACACACACACACACCGCCTCCCTATTGGAGAGCGCCTTGTGGTAAAGTTGTGTGAAATTTCGGTTCCACTTGGTGCCATCTTGGGGCTGTCTAAGAGGGCCCTTGGTCGCCCAAAGAACGATCCAATATGCCCAAGATGGCATCAAGACGGCCCACGCGGGCCCCAAGAACACTTATTCGGTTTCGCAACGATATGCGTGACTTCGCCCTCGCGTTTGCATTGAAGAGCATTCGCTTCCACAACAATCAATGTGCAAAAACACGTCTTGAAAGCCCCAGAATTACACAATCCATTTTCGTTCAACTGCATGGTTTTTGTCGTAGTATAACAACTACAATATCGTTATGACACAGCAACCACACATGTTTGAGCAACCGCCAATGTAGAAATAATTGCCCTGCGTATGCTTACGTCCGTGTTCGAGTTAATGTCCGGTGTTGGACGCACTTGAAATTCCTCGCCTCGGGCGGCCTCTACGGGGCCTCTTGGGGGCCTGCTGGGGCCTGGGTGACCTGGGGACCTCCCGAGGCCCTCTTGGAGCTTGATTGGGCGGCTCCATGACGGCTTGGGGGGGGCCAGGAAAGAGGGGTGGACCTCTTGGAGATGCGGACGCGGAGCAGGGTGCAGCTTCTTCGGGCCTGATGGGGGCCTCTCGGGCGCCTCTTGAGGTATGGTTGCGTTTCTTGTTGTTGTTGCTGCTGCTGTTGTTGCAGTCGCTGTAGTCGTTGTAGTCGTTGCGGTTGCTGTTATTGTAGTCGTTGTAGTTGTAGCTGTTGTCTTAGTTGCTGGTGTAGTCGTTGTAGTCGTAGTAGCCGTAGTAGTAGTAGTAGTAGTAGTAGTAGTAGTAGTAGTAGTAGTAGTAGTAGTAGTAGTAGTAGAAGTAGTAGTAGTAGTAGTAGTAGTAGTAGTAGTAGTAGTAGTAGTAGTAATACTAGTAGTACTAGTAGTACTAGTAGTACTAGTAGTACTAGTAGTACTAGTAGTAGTAGTAGTAGTCGTCGTAGTCGTAGTCGTAGTCGTAGTCGTAGTCTTAGTCGTACTAGTCGTACTAGTCGTACTAGTCGTAGTAACAGTAGTAGCAGTAGTAGCAGCAGTCGTCGTCGTACTAGCCGTACTAGTCGTAGTAACAGTAGTAGCAGTAGTAGCAGTAGTAGGAGTAGTAGTAGTGGTGGTAGTAGTAGTAGTAGTAGTAGTAACAGTAGTAGTAGTAGTAGTAGTAGTAGTAGTAGTAGTAGTAGTAGTAGTAGTAGTAGTAGTAGTGGTGGTAGTAGTAGTAGTAGTAGTAGCAGTATTAGTAGTAGTGGTGGTGGTGGTGGTAGTAGTAGTAGTTGCTGCTGTTGTAGTAGTTATTGTTGTTGGTGTTGTTGTTGTTGTTGTTGTTGTTGTTGTTGTTGTTGTTGTTGTTGAATTCTCACTTCTGAAGAATAGTTATTGTTGCTCCGTCCCTCCGGCAACCAGTGTCGTTTTTTCCATCCACTTACTTTAGTGCTTCCCGCGGTGCTCGCATCCTGTTTTTTTTTATCAGGGAAAGTCACTAGGCTCAAACCGGGCCCCTGGCCCCCGGTTTACAACAACAGCAGCAACAACCACAACGGCTCCCACCTGATACTTCCTCACAATATATTCCCAAATCGTGCTCTCGCGCGGGACTTCCCCACAATTCATGTACGCATCGCGCTCTCGCGTTGGATTTCCTTGCAATTTATTCAGACGATGCGCCCTCAGCGCTCAGGAATCACGCTCTCGCTTTGTCTTTTTTCATGAATTATTTGGGAATCGCGCTATCGCTCGAGACTCCCTCGCGATTCATGTAGGACCCACGCTTCAGCCACCCGCCTGCTCGACCTCGTCGCCAGGGCCCGCCTTCCCGACCTGCCCGCTATGGGTCTGCCCACCCGATCTCTCCGTCTGGTTCTACCACTTGTTTTCTGCTCATTGCCCCCGTCCTGCTAATTTCTCTCGTGCTCCATTCTTCTCCCTCACCCTTCCACCCGTCCTCTCTTCCCTTGTTTTAGGGGCTCCACTAAATGCACGTGGCAGGTAAGGAAGATATAACCCCACTGGGGTACGATCGAAGACGACGAGGGCGGGTACCGAGGGGTTGGGATATACGTATTGATTGACACGTGAGCAGATAGGAGCAAACAGTCTAAACATGATTGTTCTCGTTGTTGTTGCTATTGTTGTTGTTGTTGTTGTTGTTGTTGTTGTTGTTGTTGTTGTTGTTGTTGTTGTTGTTTTGGTTGTTGTTTTGGTTGTTGTTTTGGTTGTTGTGGCTGGTTGTTTTTTTGATTTGTTGTTGTTGTCGTTGTTGTTGTCGCTATTGCTGTTTGTTTGGTTAATGTGTTTGCTCGTATTGTTGTTTTTGTTGTTGTTGTCGTTGCTGCTGTTGTGGTTGGCTGTTGTTGGCAGTTGTTGTTATTGTCGTCGTTGTTGTCGTTGTCGTCGTCGTTGTCGTTGTCGTTGTCGTTGTCGTTGTTGTTGTTGTCGTCGTCGTCGTCGTCGTTGTTGCTGGAATTCAATTCATAAACAGTTGTAGTTGTTGGACACCCTGACTGCGCTTACGCGCTCTCGCCGAGGCGCCGGCTGCGGTTCCTTTAAAAATTCGGCTCGTGCTCAGGCGTTTCGGGGGTGCGCCCAAACCGGCCCCCCAACAACAACAACGCTCCGGCCCGATATTTCCTCCTGTCTCTTTCGGGGCCGGGGCGCGTGCTCGCCCCCCGGAGCCGACTTTCCAACACAATCGGCGCTGCCGCTCGATATCTCCATGCTTTTTACCTCAGGCAACGGCGCTCCCGCCTCAGGACCCCCTACAAACAACGACGTTCCCGCTCGATACTTCCTCCGCCTTTATTCAAGACTCCCAGGAGGCCCTGAGGCTTCCCTAGTTCCTGTCGAAACTTCATTATGGAACATTTGTCAAGCAATTGTTCTTGCTGGCCCCCCAAACATGCGATGAATTATTTAGCGCCTAGCAAGCTATGAGGTGCGCATTTTGTGGGGCGGAGTCGACATGGTGTAACCTACATGGTGCAATGCATGTTTTGGTATGTGTGTGGTGCAATGTACGTGGGGCAATCTATGTGGTGCAAAATTTATGGTGCGCAACTTACGTGGTACAATCACTCTGGTGCAATATATGTAGTGTCACATGTGTTTTTGTTTGATTGCGTGCGCGTCTACCTTTGATATTGCGCTATATTCCACGACAAAGAACGGCAACAACAAACGACAACAACAACGATAAGAGCAAAAGGAACACCACCACCAACAAACAAAAACAGCAACGTCAGCAACCAACAACAATCAACATTCACAACTACAAATACAATCACAAACTACAACTGCAACTACAACTACAACAGCATCAGCAGCAACAGCACCAGCACCAGCAACAGCAACAACAACAGTGAACCCCAACATGCCCCAAGAAGCACCCGAGAGACCCCCATCAGGCCCCAAGGAACTGCCCACTCCTCCGCGCTTGCCTCCAGAAAGTCCACCCCTGTCTCCCGCCTTCCCCCC